GGCTGGGCAGCTAGGGGAAAAAGACCCCAAAGAAAAGTAGCCAGGTTCTTGGCTAAAAGTGAAAATGTCCTTGGGCCTCTTGGCAATATACTCCGTTCCTATTACTCTAAGGGACAAAAAAGTATTTGGGAGCTCTTATCTAATCCTTAAAAAAAAAATTAGAGTTACCTCTTCAGAGGGGGGAATGTTGGAGAGTAGCAAAATGCACCATTTAAAAGAAAGAAAGAAAGACAGAAAGAAAGAAAGAAAGAGAGAGAGAGAGAGAGAGAGAGAGAGAGAGAGAGAAAGAAAGAAAGAAAGAAAGAAAGAAAGAAAGAAAGAAAGAAAGAAAGAAAAAGAAAGACAGGCACGCCATGAAGTTCTTCAGGAAAAAGTGATGGGGAGATATGGGAGGAGTTGGAGGGGAGAGAGTAGGCATGGATTTGATCAAAACACCTTATATGCATGTAAGAAATTCTCAATAAATTTTTTAGAAAGTTTAAAAAAAAAAACACAGTGAAACCAACAAGCATGCCCGGGTCATGGAGTAACTAACTAAACAGAATTCAGAGGAAAAAAAAAAATGAACTTCATCCTATCAAGAGGAAGCCAGAAAAGTATTGTTAAGCCATGGAAACATGTCATCAAACTACATTTTAGGAAGATCAAGTTTAATAAACTAGTTGGAATAAGGAAATCAATATAAAAATTTGCAGTAGTCAAAACAAAAGGGGGTATACCTTGTTACTCTGCTCTGAAATGCTAAACTTTACTACCCTATAATATCATCTTGTTATAGGATGACTCTTCATATCCTCACTCTCATCAGCATTTTTAAACTCTTTTCACTTCTCCTAGTTCATTAGTTCTTTCCTAACCTCGCTTTTTTGTTCTATACCTATGGAATCTTTACTCCCAGGCATTTGATCTGCCTACTTTGATTTTAGACACATACATGACCTAGATGATGCTAGAAAAATCATAAAATTAAGTGAACTATTATCACAAACTTGTGATTTCTTGTAACAGTGGCTTAGACTATACTCGAAAATAAATATACTGGCTAATTTATGTACCTGCTTTAATCAATTTTATTTCCTGTTTGCCTCAGCAGCATTCTAAGCCTTTGATTTCCCAAATCCAGACATTTCCACTAGACCCTAAGAACTTCTCTCATCAGATACTATTTCTTTGTATGTCACCAAGAAAACAGTGTCTCTTCATCACACGCACCCTTGTTTAAAAATCCCTACATTAAAAAGTCTCAGTGTAGTCATAGGAGTCAGCTCCTGAAGTGAAGTACAAGCATAAAGATCCCTCAGATGAAGGAGGTTGTACTAGGATGTATATGAAAGAAAATTCAACACCTGGAAAGATACAAGACAGAAACCTTTCAATTTTTTTTCTCATCAACTTACCCGTAACGATTCCATATAGGATTTATGACAATCTATATGCAATGTATGGCCACAAGTTTGCACATAAACACCTCCTTCCCAGCCAATTGATACTGCCAAAAGACAAGAACTCTTCAAAGAGAAAAAAGAAAAGGATAAAAGACAATTAATTTTAAAGAATTAATAACATACTTACATGTATCTACATAAAGCCCTGCATGTTTTCATGTATATTCTGTGTAGTTTGTAGCTTTATGATACAAACAAACACATGATTAGACAGTCCTAAGGCAAGATCTTTGAAATTACATTATTAAGTTTTGTCCTAAATATAGATGCTCATAATAAGTATCACAGACTATCTTTTTTTTTCTATAAAATATAACCTTTCAATATTATAGTTTAGGGGCTGGAGAGAGTGCTCAGTTGATAAAGTGCCTTCCTTACAAGCATAAGAACTTGAGTTCAGATCCCCTTACACCCATGTATAAGCCAGGTGCAGTGGTACATGTCTCTACCCCTGCACTGAGGAGATGAATAAAAGCAGAAAGAAATTCCTGGAGCTCATTTGCCAGTCAGCCTAGCTGAACTGAAGAGCTCCAGGTTCAGTGAGAACCTGTCTCAAAGAATAAGGCAAAAAGAGATTAAAGATATATAACATCAAGCTCTAGATCACACACACATACATACCTATACAAACACACATACACACAAAAAAATTATAGTTCAGTGTGAACTATACTGGTGATTATTTTAGGTGCTCTAGATATAGCACTTAATTTCTCCACTACTTCCCTCTTGAAATATCTACTTCCCTCTGGCTTCTATAATGTCAATCTCTCTTAAGCTTCTTCTGCTTTCCCCCCCTTCCTTAAAGTTTTGTGTTTATTATTTACATTTTGTCCAAAAAATATTATTTTGGTAAAATATGTGCCTCCTCTCAAATCTTGATGAGCTGCAGTAAAACTGAATTGCTTATGTATGGATCCTATGGAGTCAGGAAGTCACGGTAAGGGCATCCTAATGGTTTGAATTCTCGGTGTATTGTCCAGTATCTTCTTCAAATGATTTTCTCAATCGATTCATTACTGTCTCCATGTTTGGAGCCCCCAGGGCACCATGATCTTCCATCTTAAGAGGCCACTGTTTTTTTCTATATGCTCAAATCTTGTATCTCATTAATGAAGTATTCTTCACCTTTTCCACTACAGTTTCTGAGTGTGTGTGTGTGTGTGTGTGTGTGTGTGTGTGTGTGTGTGTGTGGTGCAGGAGCATGTTTGCAGTGTGTATATGTGCATATGTGCATGTGGAAGTCAGAGGACAACTTCATGTGTCAGTCACCAGGTACCTTCCACTTTTTTTTGAGACAGGGTCTTTCATTGATGTGGAACTTCTCAAAGTAGGTTAAGACAGCTAGTTATAAAGCTTCTGGGATTGACCTGTATGTAGCTCCCATATTGCCATCCCTGAGATTACCAAACCTGACTTTTTATTATTGAATTTTTGTGTATTTCATATAGAACATCTCAATCTAGCTTAATCATCTTTCCCACTGGCACCCTCCCATAGCCCCCCCGACTGGAATTCATACATTCTTTCATTTGTGTTAAGACCTATTGTGTCAAGTTAGTGTCCCCAGACATTCCTCAGTGCAAGTTCATCTACTGAGGTTTAGTCAGCTTGTCACTTAAGGAGATCAGCTCTTCCTCACCCAGCAGTAATTAGTTGCCAATATTTTTTCTTGGGGTCTGCTGTCCACTCCCCCAGTTCTATGCTGGTTTTTTGTGTGCTTGAGTGTCGCGAGCCGGGACTCTGTCCAGCAGAGTCCAGGAAAGACGACACAGACACCAAGGTGAGGTTCAAGCTTCTGTTTCTCTTTCTCCTTTATTCTCTTCACTAGGATGCTGGCTCACTATGATGCTGTCTCCTATGATGCTGTCTCCTTCTGTCTGTCTCTGTCTCCTCTGTCTGTCTCTGTCCTTATGATGCTGTGTCCTATCTATTACACACTTCAGCTCTTTATATAGCGTTTCCAACAGCCCTCCCCCCAGCCGGTACCAATCAGGGCTCACACACGTGCAGCGGCCAGGCAGAGTGTAGCTCATAGGCACGTAGCAAGATCATCAGGCTGGCAGCACCTGTTTTGGGGCTCACCATACTTCAGAGTTGGGGTAAACAAGCGGGATTCACGAGCCTTGGCAATCAGCCAAGAGTTGAAGTAAACAGCACGAGGTTTGGCAGCCAGCCAGGGCTCCATCTTTGGCTGGCTCGGCTGTGCTCGCTTCCCACAAGTGCTCTGTTCCTATTACCTGGCTTAGATTTGGTGAGGACAGGGGAAATCTTGGGAGTCTAGTGTACACGATTAGCAGTACTATCCCATCAGACATATTCAGCCTGCTGCTCTCTAAATGGGAAATACATCTCTGTCTAATTTTTGGCAACTTTCTTCACTAAACATTGCTCCACTCCAACCAAGTGAACATACTAAAATTAGACCCTACTGCTGACATTTCCACCAAATATACTTTAATCTTAGATAATTGTAGGAGCTCACTTAAATTA